AGTTAGAGAGAATATTGTAATGAACCCTCATAAGTCCATTAACCAGTTGCAATAATCATCAACACGAGACAGATCTTACTTCATCATTCATCCCCCATCTATTCTTCCACTACTAGATTTTTTTGAATTTCATATATATTATTTCTGTATCATAGTGTCCTGTTATCAGTGCATATCTTAATAGGTATCTCCAAGAAAAAAGGACTTTCTTAACGTAGCCATAATACCAGTGTTCTGTCTAAAGAAAATAACAATTATTGCTTAATACCATCAAATATCCAAACATTGTTCAGATATCTCAGACTGTCTCATATGGGTATTTTTACAGTGGTTTATTTGAATTAGGATAAAATATAGTCCTCACATTAAAAATAGAACTACTATATGACCCAGCAATTCCACTCCTGTGTATATATCAGAAGAAAACAAAATACTAAGTTGAAAAGATACATGCACCCAATGTTCATAGCAGCATTATTACAATCACTGAGGTATGGAGGCAACCTAAATATCCATCAACAGATGAGTAAAGAATATGTGGTGCATATACACAATGGAATACTACTCAGCCATAAAAAAGAATGAAATGTCATTTGCAACAACATGGATGGATTTGGAGGGTATTATATTTAGTGAAATAGGTCCAAAGACTTACTGTATGATACACTTATATGTAGAATCTAAAAAATAAACTAGTGAATATAACAAAAAAGAAACAGACTCATAGATGTAGAGAACAACTTAGTGGTTACCAGTGGGGATACGGAAGTGAGGAGGGGCAAGATAGGGATAGGGGATTAAGGGGTATAAACTATTATGTATAAAATAAATAAGCAACATGGATATATTGTACAACACAGGGAGTATAGCCAATATTTTATATTAACTATAAATGACCTTTAAAAATTGTGAATAGGGGAAGGGTAGAGCTCAGTGGTAGAGTGCACACTTAGCATGCACAAGGTCCTGGGTTCAATCCCCAGTTCCTCTGTTAAAAATAAATAAACCTAACTTATTTTTTTTAAAAAATTGTGGATCGCTATGTTGTACATGCAAAACATATAATATTGTAAATCAACTAAACCTCAATTTAAAAAAAGTCCCCACATTATATTTGGGTGATATTCACCGTCCCCTCCCCATTGCCATTCATTTGTTGAAGATACAGAGTCTCACATTTTGGATTTTGCTGATTATATCTTTGTGGTGTCATTTAACATGTTTCTCCATCCTCTGTATTTCCTGTAAACTGATAGTTAGATCTAGTGTTTTAATTAGATTTACATTTAATTGTTTGGCAAAGCTACTTCATAGGTAGTACATAGTCACAGCCTCTATGCTTACATCTACTTTTTTCCAGAAGACGAAAGATCTAGCCCAAGTTCAAAAAGCTTATGAAGGACAGACCAGGACTGAAACTCAAGTCTTCTGACTCCAGCCCCCTGCCCTTCCATCCCATCACAGTACTCCAATCTAGAATTTTCTCCTGGAATGGAAGGACAGTTGAGCTGTCATTTAATCTACTCCTTCCTTTCATGAGAGAAGCCAAGAGAGGAGCAGTGGGAAAATTCCAACCTTTCTTTGGCATATGGCAATATTTTAATTTTAAACAGATGATAGGAGAGAGGGATCTCCCCAAGCTGGGTGGGGCCATGTACCTTCTGCTTTTGCCAGAGGACTGGAAGTATTTAAGCCAGAGCTCTGGCACGGAATAGCATTCCTGTTCCCTCTCTCCTTTCAGATATGGAGAACCAATTTACCTGAGTGAGTGCTGACAGGAACATTTCATCCTTTTGACTTATTCATTTCACTTGATGGGAAAGAGGTGGGTGCACGCTCGCAGCACTGGGTGCCTAAGGAGATACTCGGAATTCCACATGGGGGAACAGGGAAGGAGGAGCTAGTGAGGGCAGCAGCCATGCTGCGTGTTTCAGAGGTGAGCACTTTTTCTTTTTCCTACGCTGTATTTTTCTGTATTTTTCTTCCTGCTAAACTGAGCCTGCAAACACCAGAACCAAGACTGTATGACACAGATAAACAGATCTCTTCGCATCGCCAGAGGAAGAAATCACCCCATACGAAAACTTGGACAATCTTGGGGCGGGGGTGGGGGGGAAAGGTGGCCCAGATGCACAATAACAGTAGGAGTTCACATTTATTGGACATTTAACACATGCCAGGCATGTTATATGCAGTATCTCATTTAATCCTCACAACAACCCTGCAAAGTAGAAGGCATGTGCTTTTGTCTGCATCGGGAGGTGAGGAGGAACGTGAAATCACAGACAGCAGTGAAGGCAGAATTCAGATCTCTGTTTTTCTCATTTAGTGTCTGTGGCTTAACCATTATTAGGCTTCAAGCTCAGCTAGGTGAAGATAGCTACTTGAGAGGGGACAGCAGCTTAGAAAGGAGCTTCCGATGGGGTGATGGGACGCTTTCCGAAGGAGATGGCTGTGGAGAAGCAACAGTTAAGCATTCTTCTGCTCCCTCTCTGTCAAGTTTAGGGCTCCTAACTGGGAAGGATTAGCAGGGTCACATCTGGCACACACAAAGCCTTAGTGTGAATTCGAAAGTGACGCCTCTTGTGGGTGGATAAACCATAAAAGCTGCCCCTCTGGGAGGCCCCTTCTCAAGGGTGATATCTGCACAGGGCTCACTGCTTGGGGCAGGACTGGGTCGGATTCCAGCCCCCTTCACGCCCTGAGCCAAGCCAGAGAGCAGGCAGTAGGCCCCGTGAGAGTCAGGCTAGCTCCCCACCCAGCACACAGCACCCTTGTCAAGCCCGTCATTCTCGCTGGGCTGTTACCATCTTTTGGTGGTTGTTTCACGTGACTGAGGTCTCAAGTCAGCTCAGAAGAGAGCAGAACCCAATTACTAGATTACTCACAATGCTGGCTTTCTTTCTTCTTTTCTTTCTTTTTTTTTTTTTTCCACCACATTCAAAGCTGTGGCAGCCAAATTTCCCCCAGCCTCACTGGTTTGACTCAAGAGGCTGGGATGATGTCTATATACATGCAGCCCAGAGATTGTGACCATATCATTCCTTCTTTTCAGTCGAGCTGATCAAGTTAAATGGCTGATTTTCGTCATGGGATTTTGTAAAAGAACATGAAAAATCATTTGAATTTTATAAACATCTTTTAAACCTTTTTAGAAACTCCAGGTAAGTATGAATCAGTACAAACATTCAGGAAATAAATTTGGTCATAACTTAGATACGGTCATTTCATTTTGGGGAATTTATAGTCGAGAAATGCTAAACACGAGAGAAAAACAAAAGCTTCTATTTACAAAGATATTCCTCGCTATATTCTTTATAACAGGAAACAAATGGAAATCAGCTGTTCTTTATGGGCACACGTGTAAGTTGGTAAAATATGGTCTATATCATGTAATAGTTTTACATTGTTTTTAGAACTTGTGTTTGTTAGATGACATAAATGCCCATGTTGTTATATTATGGGGAAAACATCAGGAAACATATG